TTACTCGAGGGGTAACTGGTAGTCCCTGTCGTCTTTCGAATGTGTAGAAGGCCACGTCTGACTTTTGAGTAGAGAAAGCTGAGTGAAGAACGTTATTGTAACTGATTGTTTCGTGAATATATGATTGTTTCCTGACGAATAGATTTTCGGTCAACTCATCGTGAACTTTACAAAACCGAGATACCTTTGGACTACATGAATATACTAAGACAAAAGAAAGTTCAAACATAGAAGAACAGCTTACGTGAACTAACATTCAGCGAAACACTATTTTCCGCACGTCGATTTACGTTATATTAACACTACATTAACCTTTTCGCACTTATTCGACAGTGGCATAAATCTTTATTTATTTACTCAGTCAATAAGAGGAAGAAAACCGATAATAAACTTCTTTCTTGTAGTTAGAAGGGATCCCGTGAGTGTACAGTTATAAATGGTTGAAAACTTTCCATAAAGTGGCGAAAAAAGAACCAAGGCATTTTAAGCCTAAATCCGAGTACGGTATGAAAAGACCCGTACACACCCACCTTTACGTCCTTTGATCCTTTTCGTTCATTTGGTCGGTGGAACGTTCGAAAATTCTGTTCTACGGTATTTGGTAAAACGGGAGCCAGGATAGCAAACCCACGTGTTTTTGCTGATGGGAACTTGGGTCCCCCTCGCAGTGCGGGTGCAGCGAGCTGTTTGGCTGACGCAGAGCGGAGTGCACGTGCTGGGGTGTACAGTTTAACCATGTCCTGGATGTAGGAAGGGCCAGATCCATTCGCAGCATGGTACACAAGTACCAGTGTCTTGGAGTGGATTATAGCAGTTACTGGAAGCCAGTGAAGGGAGCAGAGGAGCGGCGTGGTGTGGGAGAATTTAGGAAGGTTGAAGACCAGACGAGCCGCTGCATTCTGGATGAGCTGCAGAGGTCGGATGGCACATGCAGCTAGACCAGCCAGGAGGGAGTTGCAGTAGTCTAGGCGTGAGATGACGAGAGCCTGGACCAGAACCTGCGTCTCTTTCTGGGTCAGCTGGGGACGTATCCTCCTGATGTTGTAAAGCGTGTATCTGCAGCAGCGGGTTGTAGCAGCAATGTTTGCAGTGAAGGACAGTTTGTTATCTAGGGTCACACCCAGATTCCTTGCAGTCTGAGTCGGGGAAACAACAGAGGGGCCGATGTTGATTGTTAGGTCAAGAGTGGGACAATCTTTTCCCGGAAGGAAAAGCAGTTCAGTCTTGTCAAGGTTGAGCTTGAGGTGGTGAGCAGACATCCACTGAGAGATGTAAGCTAGATAAGCAGAAATACGTGCGACGACCTGAGTTTCTGAGCGGGGAAAGGACAGAATTAATTGGGTGTCGTCAGCGTAGCAGTGGTATGAAAAACCATGGGGGCTAATGACAGACCCGAGCGAGTTTGTGTACAGAGAGAAGAGGAGGGGACCAAGAACAGAGCCCTGAGGGACCCCTGTAGTTAATTGACAAGGGTTGGACTCGGACCCTCTCCAAGTTACCCTGTAGGTACGGTCTTTGAGGTATGAGGTGAGGAGGGAAAGGGCAGAGCCTGAAACTGGGGGGGTCGAGGAGGGTGGAGAAGATAGAAAATAGTTCTTGGGGATTGGAATAGGAAGAATGGATCTTATCTTAAAAGAAAGTGCTTTTTGCCTGAGAGATCGAAGATGAGAAAGAGGAGTGAATCCGTGGTGTCTAGTGGGTTTACAGAGAGGTTAGAAGTGGTGCAGTTCCTTGAGAATATGAGATCAAGGACATTGCCAGCTTTATGAGTTGGTGGGGATGGAGACAGTGAGAAAGCAAAGGCGGTTAAAATAAATGTTAATTCAGATATTTTCTCTTTCTGGAGGTTGAAATCTCTGAGAAGTACAGCGGGAGGGCCAGTTTCAGGGATGTGTGAGAGGAGATTATCTAATTCCTCCAAGAAGTCTCCCAAGGTGCCATGGTGGACGGTAGAGAACAACGATGGTTAATTGTATAGGATGGGTTACTGTGAAGGCATGGAATTCAAAGGTGGACGGAGTGAAGTTAGGTAGCTTGAAGAGGGAAAAGCTCCAGTTGGGACAGAGCAGGAGACCAGTGCCACCTCCTCTGCTAGTGGGTCTGGGTGTATGGGAGAAGGAATATGCTGTGGAGAGAGCTGCTGGGGTGGATGTGTTGGATGGAGTAATCCAGGTCTCAGTGAGAGCAAGGAAATCCAGAGACTGCAGGGAAGCGTAGCCAGAGATGAAGTCAGCCTTAGGAACAGCTGACTGGCAGTTCCACAGGCCCCCTGAAACTAGATGTTGGATCTCAGTGGAGCATGTGGGATAGACGAGAGCAGGCCGGTTATAACGATTAGGAGATGCACAGGGCCAGTAATAATTGCGAGAGGACACATGAACAGGAATGGAGAATATCATGAGTCTGTATTCTCTATACAGACTCATGGTTTCAACAACACCCTCATCTGAGGCAGTGACATACTTAGAAGAGACTATCAACTGTATGAGCTGAAATAGTTTTTGCTCGTCACCAGGGACTTCATTTAGTAACGCTGCAGGAATGTATGTGAAGGATATACATAAACTGCACTCTAAAACCATCACTTCTACAGTCTCGTTTAAAGGAAATGTGGAAATATAAACAGGAAGAATACTAAAAACGAGTGTGTGGCATGTGAAAGCTACGCAGAAGTTGCATGATGAGGCAATATTATTCTTTACATCCATGTAATCCTTGATCAGCACTTATGCCATAAACACCCCTTACCTCACTCTCACTGTCACTGTCACTGTCACTGTCTAAAAAGCTTCTGGAGGAGGAAGAGGAGGAGGAAGATGAAGCGGACGAGCTGGAATCCTGTTGAGAAAAAGGCAGGGAAGTTATTGCTCAACTCTGTGTAAACATTGAACATGATTATTTGTACATTTCTCCGTTGGTAAAAGTGATAAATGAGAATGTAAATGAATGAGTCACTAAAAACACTTTGTTAGCTCTGTTAGCAAGGCGGTTTTTCCTGCAGCAGAAGGGAGGGGCTCTTTAAGCACTTAGCAACACATTCAAAACGACAAAGGCGTTTTACCAATAAGACACACAGTTGCACGCACACGCCCATTCTAGCTATGCAAAAATGACAGTTGATCTGCATTGTAAACAAATGAATCCCCATCCTAGTTCCTCTCCGGTTCGACTGGCTGTACTGTAGGTGTAGTCCAATTTGCACTTTTCTCTTTACAGTATGTCAGAAGTCAAAATTAATGTTTTTTGTGTAGCTTACGAATAAGGCAAGGCCCCAAATTGATTAAATCAATGTCTTCAAGATAAGATTTGATGTAATAAGACATAAGGAGAGTATGCTTGTCAGCAGAGTCCTAACTAATTCTGGCCAACTTCCAGCAGTACTTGACAGATATTTTCAAGAAAATACTCAGTGTATTAAACTGAATAATGTCTTCCTGGAAAGTATATGTTGAACATGGTTTGGTCAGTGGTGAAAATGAGCTTTTGAGACACATACTTTCTTCTTCTTCTTCAGCTTCTTCTTTTTCTTGCCGATACCCTCATCCTCGCTGTCCGAGGATGACAGAGAGCTCTTTATGTGACAGACAGAAAGGGAGAAAGCAGAGATAAGATTAAGGATATTTAGACTAGTGGGAATGGTAACACATAAGCAGCAATGCGAGCAATACAGTAACACTTAATCTATTAATGTAACTAATCATTGCAACTGTCAATGCATCATGAAATGACAACTTATTCAAACGAATGGATAATAAAGCTAATTGAAATTTGATGACAAAGTCATTTCAGTCCATGCATTCATTATTCTAATGATTGTTCTGTTTTTCCAAACACCTCTCCTGCTCACCTGTCCATCTCCTTCTCCTTTGGGGAGTCCAGGTTTACCCTTGGTTCTGTCTACCTTTCCCAGGTCTGCAGGCTCTGGCATCTCAGGGAGCGGCCGCAAACACCCGTGAGCTGTGGGCTCTGGCCACTGCACACCTGCAGTGCCTGCTCCAGCTGGAGATACACAGTAAAGGATGACAGGGTTAAAGATAAACATCAATTATTTAAATCTCTTGTGTTATTAAGAATCCTAAAAATTCAGCTTGAGCAACCCTATTATTTTGAGCATGCTGGCTGCACTTCCTTGTTGTCCAACTTCCTTAAATCGACAGCCAGATTAAACATAGAGGTAGAAATCAAACATAAGGGAATAAATCCATGAAATCCTAACTGCATATTGATTACTTTGTGGTGCCCTTTGCCATCAATCTAGCAAATTGACAACCAATTCAGAAAAAAATCCAATGACACACCCTTCACAGTCCAAGGAGAGAAGACTTTTCTTCTGGTGTTTGTTTTGTGTAAATAGGCTAGGTTATATCTTTCATAGAAATACCTCTACAAAACAGTAACACACAATTTGGATCATTAGCTTTTTCCCTGAAATTATTGTTGTACGTTGTTTTAATAAGGAGACTCTGCATAATGTTTTTAAGCCCACACTCAAACTAGGTAGATAACTAAACAGGTATAATAGTAAAACAATAAAAACACATCAAACCTTTTTGGGGGGTGGACGCCATTTAGGTCCAGGCTTCTCCTCTGTCCATTGACCCACCTAAAGACAATGTGTGTGTAGAGTTCAAGAGTTTTATGGTTGGGGAAACAGTAAAAGTGTCAAGACATGCAGAATCAAAGAGACTCACCTTCACAAGTTTCAAAATAAAACCCTCTTTGAAATAAAATAGGAAATATTACTTAAAAATACATCCATTTTTAACTAGCCTACATGTTGTGTGCCAACTCCACAGATTTTCTACATAATTGGTGTGCTTTGCTACACAACAACTGACCGAATGTACGCTTTTATCTCAGACACTATATTTGTACTGTCTGTTTTATTTTGAAAGCCACAACGGTATACACCAAGTGTTATTGTAAGCTGTTTTAGCTGCAATGGCTGATTTACCTGAACAAACAGGTAATGCCGGTGTTGTGCCGTATGCTTGCCGCAGATTGAAGCCCTGTTCGCGGGGACGCGCAACGGTGACGTCATCTCACTTATTGAGCGTGCATTCAAAGGAGCAATTAAAGCAAGTGAAGCCAGTTTGAACAAACTATCTTTCAGGCTTGATTGAAAATAACACAGTGTCTGACATTATCACATACATTATCTATAACTATAGATATTTAAAAGGAAAAGTTTTACCTCTGGTCTGTGATAATCATAGGCATCATTTGCGCTGGCGACATGTCCCCACCACTTTTTGAAATGGCCAATTTTGCCCCCACCACTTTTTCAAAGTATAACTTATACATTTTCTGAAAAAATAGCATGCACAAAGAAATGTAATAAATATGAACACTGGTTTAGTGTCAAGATGTGCAATTTGGACATGTTAGTCAACTATTTATAGAAATTTATAGAAAATGTAAAAACTTACATTGCTCCCACTGTGCAGCAGCACACCGTTGGCACTGTACTTAAAAACATGTTTTAAAAAGAATTCCTCCTTACTAAACTCGGACCACCAAGGGAGTTGAACCCACGGTCTCACTGATCTGCATTACGACTTCCTGCATTAACCACATTAAAAACAAAATGTAATATAAGTTATAACATTTCTTCATATATTTTTTTTACAAGGTACTTTTTTTTATTGCTTTATGTATTATATTATTATTTATATTGAAGCAGGATTTTATTTTGAACAGTCTAATAAATATAAAATCATTGCCAGTGGGATCAGTTGCAAGTGTGTATTTAAACGAAAACGAAACAGCTCTATAATGGCAGGCAAAACAACGTTACTTGACTTCTTTTCTAAAAAGAATATCATTCACGAGAAGAAAGTTACAACCTGTACAGGTACAACCTTTACAACCTATACACCTGCGCAGTAAATCAGTATTTACACCACTGATTGGGAATTTCGGGTTATGACTTAGTCATTTCTGAACAACAGTTCATAATTCGGCTGTGGCTGAGAGGAAGAGCTGTTGTGAGTCAGAAGGTGGTGGGTTCAATGCAGCCATTGTAGTGCCGTGAAAAGGGAGTCGGAGGCGGTGTATTCAGAATGGAGTTCCAATCTTTATTAGCCATTAATAACAGAGAGGTTAACACATGACTGTTCTGCTTGACGAGCTAGCAGGTGACAGCTGAAGCTACAGGTGTTCCCACTAAAGGGTCCGTGTCTCACAATACGAGAGGTGAATTATGTCCAATAACGTGTCACCACACAAGCCCCCCCAGAATTCACGTGTAAACAAAATCCGTATGGCGGGGGGGAACAACCCGCCTGCCCCCACGAGACCTGCGCACCGGAGTCGGTGCAGCGACCTCCGCCTGTGCGGCCCCCGACAGAGGAGGGACCGGAACAACAGGCCCACACTCCCTGACAGAAATCGAAGCCGGGGGTCGGCCCCGTCTCGGCGGCCGAGCCAGCACCACCGGCCGGTCCATGTCCAAGTGAGCAGCCTTCACCCGGTCGACCGAGACGTGCTCAACCCTACCGCCCACGTCGACCACCAGGTGTTTGTCACCAAAACCCGGAAAGGTCCGTCGTAAGGGGGCTGCAGGGGGGCTCTGTGTGCGTCGTGACGTATGAAAACGTGCCCAGCCGAGCGCAGCTCCGCGGGAACTTGAGACCCCGGCGCACCGTGCTGAGTAGTCGGGACTGGAGCGAAAGCCTCCGCTGCGTCTCGCAGAAATACTCGCTGGGCCGTGGCAGACCAGGGAGCTGATGTATTTGGGAGGAAATCCCCCGGAACCCTCAGCGGCTGACCGTAGACCATCTCCGCTGTAGAACACTGCAGATCCTCCTTAGTTGCGGTCCTCAGGCCCGGCATCACCCAGGGCAGCTTGTCGACCCAGTTACCGTCCGTAAGGCCGGCCTTGAGGGACGACTTCATGGAGCGATGGAAGCGCTCGCAGAGGCCGTTAGCCTGAGGGTGGTAAGCGGTAGTCCTGTGCACGCTTAACCCCCAAACCGCCTGCTACAGCGTTCCAGAGCTCGGACGTGAACTGAGAGCCCTTGTCTGAGGAAATGTCCGACGGGGTGGCAAAATGACACACCCACGTTGCAATGAAGGCCCGGGCAACGTCTGCG